GCTTTTCCTGCTTAGAAAGTCGTCTAATACGAAGGAAAATACGGTAACTGCATTGTATATGAAGTTCCATTCCTGCAACAGAATGTGTCTGTTCCACATCAGACAAAAATGTCTATCTGCTTCCATCAGGCAGTTTATGCAGCCATAAAACACCGACAGCATTCTGGCCATCATTAACAATACATTCCAATAGTTTAAAGCTCAATAATAAGCCCAGCCTGTTTATTTAAAAGCCCTGTCCATAAGAGGCAGGAAATTGCTGAAGGCCTGTCTGAATATAAAGGTCTTCACCTGACAGCGGAAAAAGCTGGGAGGGAGCAAGTGTATAACTGAATAGGCTGAATGAAGTGTATCTGAATAACTTGTCTGGGAGAAAAGTGGAATTGGAAAAGTGGAAGTGAGGAACACAAGTTTTACATTCTCATATTGCATAAAATATTTTGTTGTTGAGTACCTTCAAGTCATTTCTGCCTTATAGTGATCCTAAGGTGACCCTATCATGGGAGGATATTCATTGTTCAGGCGTGTGTGCTTGCCATTGCCTTCCTCTGGGGCTGAGAGAATATGACTTGCCCAGGTCATCAATTGTTTTTCTATGTCTGAGTGGAGATTTAAACTCTGGTCTCCTAGTCCAACACTCAAACCCTACAAAATGGTTATTCCCAGCATGATATATTGCCAGACTGACTGTTAACCTACAGCTTAGCTGGGATTTATAAGATAACATAATAACAAAAACAAATAAACATACATTTATGAAGCAATCTTGTAATTGCTCCAGGTTTCTCCCAAACTTTATTACATTTATTAATTACATTATATCTTGCCTTTTAGCCAATAGCAGCACTCAAAGTGGCTTGAGGAATCACTATAACAATTCTGTAAAGGCAGCCTGTGACTAACATTTTGGGAGCAGGGATTGAGTCATTTCCACAATGTCCATGTATGCCATAATGGAATATTACGTCCAGTATCAGACAATATACCTCTGTCTATCCCTTGCTGGGAACCTGAGTATGAAGATCCTGTATGAAGATCCTGTATGTAGTCCATCACTTTGTTGGAGCATTTTCAGGCTCCAGCTTGCTGAAAAACAACTGCATTATCAACATAATGGCAAGCCATTTCTTCTAAATTGGCAGCCAGAACTGGAGTATGAGAAATTTAATTGAAAATCTCTTTCACACACAACAATCAATAATTCCACATTGCCAAAATTGTTGCAGAGATTAATCATCTTCTGCTCCATCTTTTATTATGGTCACGGTGCAGTCA